CCCTTTATACAGTCATCCAACCATCATCCATCCATCCCATCCATCTATCATCCAACCATCATCCATCCATCCCATCCATCCCATCCATCTATCATCCAACCATCATCCATCCATCCCATCCATCCCATCCATCTATCATCCAACCATCATCCATCCATCCCATCCATCCCATCCATCTATCATCCAACCATCATCCATCCATCCCATCCATCTATCAACCAACCATCATCCAACCATCATCCAACCATCATCCATCCATCGTCCATCTATCAAGAAGTCACCTCTAATGCCCTCAGTCTGGACTTAAAGGTGCTCAGAGGGATCAGTTCAGTTAACTTCCAGACTTTTTTCAACATGTTCCATGTAGATGGAGCAGAGTAAACAAAGACCCTTTTCCCCAATTCTGTACGGAGAAATGGGACAGAGAGCAAGAAATAATCATTTGAACACAAGGACCATTGGTATAAATAAAAGTKTACCAATGTCCCAACCTCCTGGTGGACAAAGAAGACCATCCCACTGGAGTGTACAGATCACACTGATGAGTCGARGCTTTACAGTTGGTAACAAACCTCAGAGAAACATGATACACAGCATCTACTTTTTTAAACATATTGTGCTGAGGCATATATAACAAGTCTCCATAATCTAAAATGGAAAAAAAAATGTTGCTGTGACAAGCTGCTTTTAACCGTAAAAGAAAAAATTATTTTATTTTGAAAAAAGAAGTCCAGTTTAAGTTTAAGTTTCTTCACAAGATTTTGGATGTGGGGCTTAAAACTGAGGGAGTCATCAATCAAGAACCCAAGATGTTTGTATGTGTCTCTATAATATTTCCTTCAAAAGTTGACACAGTGGGGATCATCAGAGGCACCTTTTTGTGTTAGCAAATAGCATTAGTTTAGTCTTATCAGCACTGAGTACCAACTTTAGCTGCAGGAATGTGTGCTGGACAACATCAAACGCTCTCTGCAGAGATTCTACAGCTTTAGCAACAGTCGATCCAAAACAGTAAATAATCGTGTCATCGGCATAAAAATGCATATTAGCATCTGACACATTTTGTCCTAATTCATTAATGTACATAATGAACAGGATGGGACCCAAGATTGAACCCTGTGGCACCCCCTTRTGTACAGTCATAAAATCAGAACACAAACCATCATATTGAAAACACTGAGTCCTGTTACTCCAATAATTTGACAACAGGAAACCACATGATCTGACATTTCCAAACAACAAAGTCTGTACTTTAAGACAGCATGGTCCACAGGGTCAGAGGCTTTTCACACATCAATAAAAAGAGATGCACAGTACTGCTTTTATCAAGAGCAACAATTATATCTTTTATCACTTCAGTGGCTGCAGTGATGGTGCTGTGCCTTTTTTCTGAAGCCTGATTACAGTTTTGAGAGAAGTTCATTCGAACATAAAAACTCTTTTAGTTGTTCGCAAACAAGAGATTCAAGCATCTTTGACGAAACACACAAATGTGGTATTGGCCTGTAG